AAAAGTAGCCTATGACACCCGCCGGGGCCCGTAGTGTATGTGTGCCAAGTTTGGTCCGGATCGGTTCAGAAATGGAATTTTCTATTCGGAACATACGTACACACAGACAGGCAGACAGACATACAGACAGACAGACAGACAAACAGACATTCAGCTTTATATATAAGATTTAAAAAATCGTGACGGCGGATTTGACTGCTGTCTTTACGCCCAAAGAGGAATGAAACACTCACACAAGAAGGCACCTCAATGCTCAGCTCAGCCACTTCCAGCTCTAACAAGGGGAGGATGTTCAGTCGATGTGACCTTCTGCGATGATATTTGTATACGATGTTAAAGGGCGTAAAATGCTAATTCCAAATCTGTCCTTTTTATCTGCGGTGCGTTACTGGACAAGGAGTTACAAGCGTTTAGAGGAGCGAAAAAAATTGTTTTTCTGGGATAAAAACAGCTGCCAAAATCCCAGCGCTTGTATGAGACAGTCGAAGTGCGGATCTATCTCATCTAAGAGTATTTAATTTATAGAGTGCTTGAAAGTTCACCACTGGTCCATTTGAAAGCTAGGAAAAATGCTATTACTAAAATTACTATTGTTTTCACATTATTTGCACATTCAATTTCTTTCTCCAATAAACGCTCATAACTTCTCGTGAGGGAATGCGCCGCAGATAATGAAGACAGATTTGTAACCAGAGTATTATGCTCTCCAACATGGTATACAAATCATCTCAAAAGGCCACTTTGACCAACCATCCTTCCCTTGTAAGTACAAACCAAGAAAATGCTGTTGCCGGAAGTGCGTGCGTGTCGCGCGCGGTCGCGCCATCGTCACTATTTTTCGAGTGCCCTATAGCCCAAATTTTGGTCATTTGATCGTTTGTGCGCTGTAAAGAAGCATTGTTTGTGTTATTTTGATTTGAAATTCGCACGTTTGCGAAAGGACGAGTTCAAAACGTAAAATTTGACATGTTTGCTGATTTTTTTTTGCGTCTCCGCCCCGGATCCAACGAAAACGGTATGCCCTTTGCTTTCTACCCCAAAGACAAAGTTCTTAACTTATCATATGGGTCCTGCCCCCCCCCCCCTCCCCCCCCCCCCCCCTTGGGACCGCCACTGGCAATTATATAAAGCGAGATTCCTTAGATCTACTTACATTCAAAAGTTAATCATGTTCGAAAATGACCATTTCACTTGGGTGTCCGAATATCTGGAAATCTCAGAATTCGCTAAAACTTGGTTGACAGGGGGTTTTGCCATGCTGATCACAAAAATAGTAATTATTTTGTTTGATGAAGCTTCTTTATTGTACTTGCCGTATGTGCACATGATAGGTCAATACGCAACGTGCTTGTAATTTGCATAATGGGCTTATCTGGCATATTAACGAGTACCACGCTATCGCTAACATCAGCTAACTTCGATTACGACCCCCTTCCCTATGACTCCTTGCTAGACCTCCAGACAGGGTCAAGCGTGTTGATGCGATCCGGGACCCTCACTTACGACCCCCCCCCCTGAAGGTACCCATCCGTACGACCCCCCGCCCCATCTACCCCCTTACCTCCCCTGCCCACATTCCTCGCGGTAACCTGCATAAACGAATGTCAATCTCAAAAAACACCTGCGAGAGAACTTCAGTGAGGTTTCGGAAGCAGAATTTTTAGGCCAATGGGTGCGTCCATCATCTGTAGCACACATACACACCTTTAATAATGTTTGAGATGCTACAAGTTTTTTTTTTGAATTTTCAGGCATACTTCAGGCCAGCAAATTCGATTCCCGTAGGCGACACAAATTTTTGCACGGAGGAAAAATGACATTCGTGAACTACAAAAGATGTTTTCGACTAAGAAGCTTACCTCCTACCTCTTCCACAGTTTTTCCCGCGAAAAAAAACCGCTTGAGCGCCGTCCAGAACGACGTCAAAAACGTGCATGAGCACGGTAGTTTGAAAATTCGTAACTAAGGCCAGGAAAAGACTGAGAGGCTGCAAAGCACAGGTTCTGTAGTATAGTGCCCAGACTATCCAAAGAAAAAGTTTTAGCTCTTGAGGAGCAGTAAGAACGAAAAAATTTAGATGCGACTCTCGCAAATTTAGATGCGATCCTAAAAAGCAAATACTGGGATTTTTGAGCTTAAAAGTTTGTAACACGGCCTGCAATTTTTATGAGGAAAAGTAGGAGGATGGCCTCATATTGCGGCAGAATTGCAGCCGACAAGCTTCAATAGCTCCGAAGAAATTTAGATGCGACCCAGATATACCTTTCCTGACTTTTTGCTACCATACATAAAATCATAAGAAAATCCGAAGGCTATAAAGTAGGACCAAATTTTGCACAAATGTAGTAGAGCACCTCTAAAGTACAAATAAATTGTAAGGACCGTATGAAAAGCATTACAAATAGATTTACAAAATATTGATGATTAGCGTTGATGGAGATATGCTCTTTTTTCGAGTGTGTGAGTCTTCAGTGAACCTTCGGAAGCAGGACTTCTATACCATTCGGTATATCCAACATCTTTGTCACGCATCCATGCCTTTAGTAGCATTTGAGCTTCTAAAAGTGTTTATTTTTTAAGTTTTAGTCATGCCAGCAGGGTTCGATCCCCGTTTGCGACAATGTTTTGCGGGAGAAATAGTGTTTCCCATAGAAAAAAATGAACTAAGTCATAATCTTTCAAAAGTGCAGCGAATGAAGCGAATTTCTACGTTTGCAAATGTTAATTATTGTTTACTCTTTTTGACTTGATACATTGGTACACGGCATTCCATGAATTTATTGTTAAGAACATATAATAATTATTTGCCATTCAATTTCCTTCCATGCTTTCGGTTTTTTATCCAAACTACCTCCTTTTACGACCCCCCCCCCCCCTCACCGTTACCCCGCCTACGACCCCCGTTGCGACAGTCGCATCACACGCTTGACCCTGCCTCCAGGTGTTGCTTGTCACCCCTACGCTGGACCTTGATAAAATTTGTAGAGCAAAGCTCTACATATTTTACTTTCGCTCTACACATTTTATGTCCCACGCATTTTTTGTATTCACACTACGGCTGCAGCGGAAGAAACGCTTGTTACTAATACAACCCCATAAATACACTACGCTTAAAGAACTATGCCTTTGAAGCCTTCGTTAGCACTCTTACTACATCGATTCCGTATAAAACTACTACTTCTCTATGATCATTGAGTCACAAAATTTTGGAGTCTCTCTGTTGGCTAATCGCAAACTAAAATCAACAGAAACGATTTCGAGTGAAAATATTAGATTGATGCAAAAGTCCTTTCGCATCATTTTGTAAAATTATGACTTCTAGCTCTCTTAGGTTTGCACAAACTCAATTTTGCTAGTTACGGGAAACCCTTCTCTTTGTGATAGCGTCTTTGCTGCTTTCTAATAAGGGGTATCTTTTGAGACAGAAGCAGAAGAACAAAACAACTTCAGCTTCGATCATTTTGAGTTAGGCTGCTAAAAATATGTATCTTGCGATGAAATTTCGAGCAAGCAATATAGTAAGTCCTTTAATCCACAGTTTCCAATAGTGCAAAGTTAATGTTGAAAGAGCATCTTAATCATGAGTATGTGCGTAAGCAATACAAAAGAGCAAATCTGATTTTCTAGCATTTTCTCGAAAATCATAACTCTTCACAAAAATGCTCATTTGACACAAACTTTGCGATGTTAGAAACTGTGGATTAAAGGACTTACTATACTGCTTGCTCGGCGAGTTACAGGTCTTTAGCAGCCTAACTCGAAATGAACGAAGCTGAAGTAATTTTATTCTCCTGCCTTTTATCTCAAAAGATACCCCTTATTAGAAAGCACAAAAGCACTAGCACAAAGAGGAGAGTTTTCTCTAGCACGATTAAGCTTGTGCAAATCCGTTGAAAGAGCAAGAAGCTATGAATTTGCAATGATGTGATGCGACAGAACTTTTGTATTAACCTAATACATTTGAAACCAAAGATTGAAGGCCTATAAATTCGCGTCGGATGCTATGGACAAAAGTTCCTTGCGATAAGTATGAATCGCAGAACCATCGTAAAAAAATCCTGACAAAACAGAGAACAATGAATATATTTAAGGCTGGAATTTATACTATGTGCTCTAGTATACGGCACTGGATTATCGGACTATTACTGTTACTTGCTGTTTGGAACCAAAATTCATGCATTCGCCAGTGCCTTTCCTTGTTATCAACTTTTACTTCTTACAAGGAGAGGATACCTAGTCGAAAGCACCAATTCAAATGAAACATACATCATCTTAAAGCGCTTGAAATACTGATTCCAAATCTATAGTTTCTAGCTGCGGAACGGTTTTGTAAAAGGAGGTATGAGGGGTGTCCCCCTCTGAGGTAAAGGCGCTCCCCAGCAGGTCTCCCCTTATCTATCAGCACTGTAGAAGAGTACCAACTGGTGGCAACTGGCCTAGTGGTGACTTGCTTGATAGAGAAAGTGTCAAGATTTCAATCCTTTCGCGTGCAACATCGCAGTTCTTGTAAAATTGAGCTTCTAAATGGCTTTGGAGCCCTAAAGCCTGATTTCTGATGATATTGATGCTAATCGAAGTTAGAAGTGTTAAACAAACCAAAGTAATATGAGTACCATAATCCTTATTGTAATCTTCATTCAGATTACTTACCATTACACCATTTTGTGTTTCTATAATGCTCGTAGACAAGAACCGACATCTGAAGGGCACCTCAACCCCAGAGGAAAACTCCCCTCATAACTCTTTCTACAAAACCGTTCCGCAGCTAGAAACTATAGATTTGGAATCAGCGTTTCAAGCGCTTTCAAATGATGTATGTCTCCCTTGGATTGGTGCTTTCGACAAAGTATCCTCTCCTTGTTAGAAGTCGATCGGCACGAAATTTTTTGCATTCATACCTACCGTAGCTAATGCATATGGAATAACGCTGGATGCGCAAAATTAGGTATTATATACTTTGCCAGAAGCCTTACGATAAAGCAACTTATACGAATTCCGACATACAAATGAAGGTTTATTACGCACAGCATAATCAAAACACTGGTGAGAGCATAGGATGTGTTGCTTCTGATCCAAATAAGATTTGCTAAAATGTGGAAAAGTGCATCACAAATGCAAGCCTAATTCACATCCAACGATAAGGAGCTTCTTACACAGCCACCTATTCACTAAAATAACAGGATATTAGAGGTGATATGGGTGATTTCAAAACGAGTGAGTTGTCGTCAAAAGAATGGCAATAACTGCTATGAATTAAGGTGAGTGAAGGAGAAAGTAGAACCTTTTCATTGAACAATTAATGCAGACATCGATCAAGGACACTTCGTGGAATTAAGAGATTCCTATCCATGCAACTGATACTGCAACCATGAAATCTAGAAGGCGACTGCAAGGAAATTAGACAAGAAGCACCAAGAAGCCTATAACTGTACATTGGTAAGCTCCTGTGCGAGATATCAGAGTCTTTGCTCAAAGCAAACAATAGACTAGTTATTTCTGCAATAAAATTTTAAAGCTGGAGAGGCAATGTTGCTGATCGGGGACGGCATAGTGAATTGAATGTGAATAAATGCTATAAAAATGACGTTGAGCTGGGAATGTTCAAGATCACAGGACAGACATAGCTTGAGAGGGCACATCAAATGAACAAATAACTCTAGTTTAGAGCCCGTAACCGAAGGACTAATGGTACGGCCCCAAGGCGAAAGTCTAGGAGACCACGCCAATCAGTATACCCATGAAACTGGCAACCATTGCGGGCAGACTGGGAGCTTCTCCGCGATCTGCTCTAGTTGAACTATTGTTTCATCTATATCATTATTGACTATGACATAGTCAAACAAATGACCGAATGCTTGTCGAAGGATTTCGGATTCCCGCAGAAGTCTCTCCAGGCTACCATCAGGCTAAATCGTGTCTTTTCGAAGGGGGAATGAGGCAAAATCAAGCTTACATCTTGCAGACCCTGTAGGTTCGGAGCGGCGATAAAAACTACAAAAGGCGAATACTCCGCCGTCCTCAACACCTAAAATCAAAAACGCATGAATACCACCATAGGAAATGGATATGTATCTACACTTTTCAACTGACTGTCTCTTACGCATTAAATTAAGTGAGGCAATACCCAGAAAACATCATCGCACAACTAGGGTTCAATACAGCTCTCACCAAAATTCCGAGAGACAGTACGAATGCTGAACTCCGTCACTGAGACCGCGCTTTCACCAGATCTTCAGGTAACTCAATGACGGAATAAAAATTCAAGCTGAGCAGAATTAATTTTTGACCGACATTCTTGCGGAAAGTTGATGCACCGAGGTTTGATCCCACTTTCCCCCATTTTCTAACAAGGGAAGGACAACATTAGCTGGCAATTGAAGATGAGATGTATATCATTAGATGCGCCTTTGAGCGCTGATTCCAAATCTGCTTTCCTTTTTTGCGAAATAAGTTTTCGAAAGAAGTTATGAGCGTTTGAATGTCCAGATTTGCCAAACATTGAGTGGCTTAAAATCAGCGAAAAGCTTTGAAAATAACACCTATGCGATTTCCACCAGCTTTGTTCCTTCCTTGCGAACAATATACTCGACACAAAATTGGTTTTCCATTTTCCGGTGTTTTTGCACAGTTTTTCGCCAATTTTACCCACTTGAACCTTGACAAATTTAAACATTTAAACGCCCACAACTTTCGGGAACTTATTCCGCAAAAAAAGGAAAACAGATTTGGAATCAGCGTTCAAAGGCATGTCTACTGATATACATCTCATTTTCAATCGCTAATGTTGGTATCCTTCCCTTGTAAGCTAATTTGCATATACTATGCCCGGTAAGCATGCAAACTCGCCAGAACTTCAACGTAGCGTTTCGCTATACTCAACTCTACAAATTCTCATAAGATATTCCAAAAAAGACAACTGCCTCTACTTTGTTTCCTTCCAACAAACCTTATAGTTGAAGATTAGTTACGATTATTTTGTTAACACATTCACGACAATAGAAGAACCGGTAAGTCGTGACCGGACAGCATGATCCGAGATACTGTACACTATTGCTGGTAATCATAAGCAAGGGTCAAGCACAAAAGTTAGCTACTACTCTTCGACTTAGAATTTAGTGGGAACTTGAGTGCGTATACACAAGGAATAAGGGATGTGCAAGAGAGTCACGCTTTCCATTGATTTTCTGTGTTACCTAGGCAGCTCAAAAGTTATGAACTGATGGTTCTCAGCATACTATCTGCAAATACAAGTCTCGACTACCGTTGACTCTCTACAATGATTTCATGATTTTGCGACACCTACCGTAGTATTACAGTGGTCCTAGTGCAAGACTTGAATAACATGAACTATTCTTAATTAGCATGTAAACGAAATAAAATTTTCAAGGAAATCGAAGATGAGCTCGTAGTGACTACCGTGTCTTACCGTATGACACAAAATTAAAGGAATGTTACTTTTATGATCAGCTTGAAAAGAAAGTTAGTTTCATAATCAGCACCTTCGATGGGCTTAAGCCTTATGTAATACTGTTGCTTTGCTCCCACATCCTATTACTTCAGCAGAAGTATTACCATATCCGCAATTATCAGCCAAATTGTTCTGTTCACTGACTAGCACTCTTTTCATACGGCAAAGCATTTTACAAAACAAAACTCGCAAATTGACACTGTGAAAAAAAGCTTGAATTTAATTTTTCACCTTCAGTGCCTGTGGTTCTACATCCAGTATAGCTACTTTGCCACTTTTATGTATATTACGAATCGTCTCCAACTTCGTGCCGTACATGCCTAAATACTAAGCCATTTGCATTTGTAGTAATTCCCAGATAAAACCAACTTTCTTCATGGGTACCATACTCAAGATACTCATTATTTTGAATATCAATGAGCATTTGATCATTGGAGACAAAAAAGTAATGTTTTCCATCAACTTCTTCCTTTCGCGGGGGCCTTGTGGTATCTAAAAAGAAACAGAATTGCGAGAATAATATAAATTAGTTCCATGATTCTCTCATTACGTGGTATAGGATAAGCGAATCTATTCGGATGCCTATGAATGAGTGTATTCTTAATGTGTCGTCGTCCAACACCATGTGCTCCCAGTAGTACGAGAGTTTTCCGTCGATACTGCGACAATCGCATGACCTTAATCATGAGATCCTGCAGCTGCAGCAGCGAACAAAATTATACCTCTTCATACGTGACGAGATCCAACTGATCAAATAATGCAGAATGTTTTTGAAGGTATTTTGTAGTGTAGTATTTCTTTCTTCTGTTGAACCACATACAATGCGCTAGAATGGTTTAAAAGTAGAGACACACAGTTTATATTTTTCCAGCGATAGACTCTCGCAAAACTCTTTCAAAGTGATAACTAATGATAACGTTGCTCTCTGATACAACCTCAAACTCTTGGCAACGTATGTTCTGTTCGGATAGAGTTGATAAATCGTTGATCTACTGTCGTCTAACACCTCAAAGGCACACGAGTTGCGAGATACGATTTGCAAAACGGCAAGCCTCCAAGCACTGAGTCACACTTATTGGAGTCGATGATATGGTTGCAACATGAAAAACTGTTTTAGGTGGAAAGAAAGCTTCAAAAACTCACAATGATCCTTTGCCCTTTCCATTGCTAGACAGGCAGTCCTCCATTCTTGCAATTCTGGAGACGGGATCAGGCCAGCAACGTTGACCGAGATATTTGAGGAAGTTCCAAAGGACGGAAAACTTGATACGAATCTTGCCTGCCACCAATTATGATCATCTTTTGAAATGACCTAAGCACAGACAATTATACAGAACTTCGGAAACCAACTCTATCTAACCTGGAGTATGTCACCAGTCTTGAAAGGAACACCTGCTTGTGGACACGGAATCAAGTCATCTTCGCACGGATCGTAGTCAAACTGCGCACGCACAAAAATTTCACAAGCTGGCGGGGCGGAGCGATATGACGGAACAATCTTGAAAGTGACCTGAATCAAAGCATGTGTAATTACTTTAGCGCTATTATGCACCCTGCTACAGTCGAGTAGATTTAGCGGTAAATATAGTGTGCTTGCACAGAAGGTGAAATGCGGTAAAATTGGCGCGTGAAGAAATAGTTTCGACTGTGACGCCGGCCAATTGCGCGCGCAAGATGCGAACGCCCGTAAAAGGGCTCGGACCTGGGAGGAGTTGCAGGTGCGCTCCCTCGCCATTTCGATTAGAGCACCGTTTTTTTTTTTTCAACTGGAGCGCACTATCTCCAAACACTTCACATTTGACGCCGTTCGTAGATAGCGATGAGTACGTGCATTTTTTTTGCATCCGAGAAAATTTGGCATGTTAACGTACACGCTAGTCAGAGAGTCAAAAACTATTTCGTTGCTGTTAAATGGTTTTCCTGATTCGTTGATGCTCTTCCGAAAAGGAGACTTTTCGTTTTATGGAACATCCCGCTTGCAGAGAAGCAAAGCTTGGGGCAAATATATCCACATTATACATTATATATCATCAAAGGATGTTAATGTATTATTGCAATGCATAGCTCTCACTAAAGTCGGTGACTGACTGAAAATGAGATGGTAGTGCTGTTTCGCGGTGATAGAGAGGAAGTTGCCGAACAATGTAATCTGTCATCACATGAAGTGCTAATGGGCATCGGGTTCAATCTAATACTTTATACAGTTTCTTTTTCTGGTTGTCTACACGGAAATGTGTTCGCATATCTTTAAATGTGATGTTAGCATCTGGTAGGGATCGTATGCTGTTTTCTCAATTGCCTTTCTCGATGAAGCTAGGTGATTCGTTCACCATCAGCGAATTCTACTGATGAACATCAAAGGTATTGTGCAAACGATACAAAGTAAGTTGATTGATAAGTTGTGGAAGAAAATCGCACAACATAGAAGAAATTTACTTGAATCTGGTTGCACTCTGAGCAGAAATTGTGTGCATAAACGAGTTCTTGGCTACTTTTGAAGCCCAAAATCATTCTGATCCTTTTTGATAACGTTGCTTTCATAGAGTGCTAAGTACTACATAGCAATTTTCCCTGGATGCGTCTCGCGCACCAGTCTAGAATTGAGTACAGTGACATATTTTTGAAGAGAATCCTAGGTAACCCCTTCTTTGTAAATTGCATTAAGACTAACGCCTGTTCAAGCGTCGAATCATTGTGCAGCTACCGCTTCAAATTGAAGATTGGACAAATGACCTTCTTCAGGTCATATGTGAACTCCGAGCCAACTTTAGCGAACGATCCTAGCTGTAACAGCTCGACAAGTATAGCTCCACAAACAAAGCAGCTATACCGTCTGCGCCCCAGAGAGGTTCCCATATGAACCAGCGTGCGTACGTGGTGCGACGCTGCCTTTCGCTCTTTCTGACACCTTCCTCCTGAGATTTCAACGGAAGGCCGAGGTTAACACATTCAAAAGACTATGGGAATCTTGCTGGGGAACGAATGATACATAAGCATTCCACGAAAGCAATTCTTCAAATAAGTGTAGGACATATCCAATGTCAGCTTGATCATGTAAGTGTGGAAACGAACAATAGAATATAACGTACATTGGAATCACTTACTTTTATGGAGTTCAAAAAGTGTTGGAGGATGATGTTGGAAGAGGAAGCAATCGTAACAGTGATTAATACACTGGTGTAACTTGTTGCGTTACAAACTTCAACAACTTTCTCTAGTTTACCGGATAACATGTAGCCATCTCTTCCTCAGCCAATCTCATGACTCGTACTAGTAGCCGTGCAACAGTCATACATCAGCAGCCTTTCATCACCGGTGACACTCCTTTTCAGATGCACAAGTATTTAGAGATAGTGCGCTCCAGTTGAAAAGAGGTGCTCTAATCGAAATGGCGATGGAGCGCACCTGCAACTCCTCCCAGGTCCGAGCCCTTTTACGGGCGTTCGCCTATAGATGATTCATCGCACGCGGAGACAGGGCGATACTACTGGCTCTTTCGATGTCTCGCTGATCGGGCCAGCTCCAATATGCCAATTTTCAGGCATATCTTCTTTGTTTCCCTTACTAGTGAACCCGTAATCTAGAGCTGCTATTTGCGAGAGCGTTCGCTTCACCGCCGTGCGGTTTCCCGCTGTTTGCACATTTTTGAATTGAGTCAACGATTCTCTATATATTAGATTAGATAGATATTTGGCAGGTTCCGGCGCCTTCCGGGTTCAAGCGGTTCGGACGAGTTCGGAGGGGTACTGGCGTGGTCTGAACGACGCCTTACATTAGAGCGACTATATTTCTTCAGGTGTGGGATCTTCGATGCTATTCGAACTTTATTCTGCTGTTCCTGGAAAGAGGATAGGGTTTTGGTCATTTCATTGCGCCGGGTAAACTTCTGACATAGACCAGATTTATCCAGAAACATTGAGAATTATATACGTGAACGACGAACTTGCCCACCACAAATGCAAATATGGTGCTTAGTGTCTCCTCAACAACAAAAAAGTTGCTTGCGTTTTTTAGTCACACATGCTTTGTTCCCATCCGCCGATATACATCCAAAATCGTCTTAGACACACTCAGAGATACTGCCTGAAGTTCCCGCTTGAGTAAGGTCGTGTACGAACACGTTAGCTGCGAACTAGTAGCCAATCTGCGACACCCCTTATGCAGTGCTCTACACTTACCTTATCGGCTTCCCCCACTCTCCCACGCCTTTTTCCCGCTTTCAATAACAGCCTGACAATTGCCAACCTCAGTTAGATCATGTATATGAGAAACGAATCTGCTAAATCTTGTACCGTGCTTGCCATTATGCAGAATAAGTCATGCATTGTAATGGTAGATTAAGAAGACTGTCCATAAAACAGGGATTTTGAGGACAGAAATACATGATATTTCAGCTTGATTAAACGGTATACTTATACAGATTTTCTCACAGGACATGAGTTATTACAGATGTTATGGCTGCAGCACAGAAATTGATGAACATTAGATGAGGAGTCAAAAAATAAAATACAGAGGACGCAAAGAATGTAACGTTAACGCGAACTCTCAACAAGCACCATGTGGGACTAGCAAAAAATGCTTTGTCGTTAGTGTTTATGGAGGTGATTTGGGCAACGTTCCTCCTCCCGCCTCGCGCGACAACAAACCGCAAAACACTTAGTAATGATCCAGATGAGGTAAGATCGATTTCTGTGGAGACCACAAACAGTATACAATCTGTGTCAACCACGTGCTCCCTTTCCCACAACTATACGTATCCACAGCGCGTGGGCATTGAGCAGCGATCTTCGATCGATGCGGCAAATTTGAACGCTGAAGCCGTACGCCCGCGAACGCGGCACGGAGCTCTAGCGTTGCGCCCATGATCGGTGAGGGTGCACATCGTTGACGCAGACTGTAGTCATTCATTTCATATGATCATAGTTATTGTACATAATATTCGTCTTTGTCGTCCTCATCTTTGTCCTTGTAGCGAAGATAAAAGACTCAAACCGCAAAAATATGCTGTTTCATAAAAACATTAAAGGCAGTGTCCCCCAAATTTGGGGTAGTGCGGGTCTCCACATATGAAATCAGAGGACCCTTGAGCAGCCGACCGCCTCAAGTCCAACTCGATCCGGGCCCTTCCACGCCGACAAATTTGCCCTCAGTGGACCCCAAAGCGCGATTTGGTCCGCACGACCGACGCTTCCGGTCCCTCCTTTACGCGATTCAACAGGTGTAGGCCCTTTTGAACCCATCGCGCGCGATGCCCGTTTTGCGGCGGCGGCGCTGGCAAAGCTAACTAGTCGCATTCACAGTCAACGGGGAAAATTCTTAGTTTGAAGCATGTAATACCTTGTGCCAAAAGCTATCATCATGTTGGACACAAAAGATGTAGAAAAATGATGCTCCGTCCTACTCATGACCAATCAGAGGCGTGCTGTGATAGCGAGCGGTTCAAAAGGGCCGTTTCCCCGTTTCAACATGTCCCTCCACTTGGCGTCCACCTTCATAGTGTTGCTGCCACTGTGGCGAAGGCTAGGCTGAGAAACTACAACTCGTTCGCGTTGCTTCCACGAGGCTTTCAAAAAACGGGATTTTCGTTTTCGGCTATTTTGGACCCGCACTGAGTTAGAAAAGGGCGAAAAGGCTTGCTATATGACAAAATCTCGACAACCAAAGGTTGGTGAGACACTAACTTCAAGGGATCAGAAAAACGTTCCCTTGAAGATGTCTATGAACGAAAACCCAGGATGGTAACAGCAAAGACGCACAGTGTGTGCAATGCAATTAAACAAATCACGTTACTACAGTGCTGGACATAATTATAAAGGCACTCTAGGAATTGTCGTAATTTTCGTTCTTGTCAATGAATCTGCCTGAAACTTTGCTGTATTGTTAGCATGTTAACCTACCATGACCGCTCAAAACGGCTTCCAATCTTGTTCGAACGGAGAAAAACCGAAGAATTCGGAAAAGCCCTTAGTGAAAGCTGGACTATAAAGACACCTGGTTTTTCAAACATTATCGCATTCCTTGACTCTCAAATTTTTGCACAGTTATATACATCCTAAAATATGAAACACTAGCTGGCTTACCCGGCTCCGCCGTATGTTCCGAATAGAAAATTCCATTTCTTAACCGATCCGGACCAAACTTGGCACACATACCCTTCGGGCCCCGGCGGGTGTCACAGCCCACTTTTCGTTATCGATCGGTCGATTTTATCGATTTTTTTGCAAAATTTGAGCTAGGGGGCTGGAATCTGGCAGGGGGGTGTTCGAGCGTGCTGATCACCCCCACGGGGGGGGGGGGGTGATCAGCATGCTCGATTACCCCCCTGTGCCAACTCCCAGCCCCGTAGCTCAAACTTTGCAAAAATCGATAAAATCGATATTGATCGATGACGAAAAGTAGCCTATGACACCCGCCCTGCCCCGAAGTGTATGTGTGCCAAGTTTGGTCCGGATCGGTTGAGAAATGGAATTTTCTATTCGGAACATACGGCGGAGCCGGGTAAGCCAGCTAGTCGCTGATATTGAAAGCAGACTCCAACCTCATCATAGGGTTGTCAAGCTATTACTCCAAAAAACTCTGTTTGCAATGCTCATAAGCTGGTATATTTATTACATTGCAACTCCAGATTTTCCCTAGTGAAAACTTTACACAAAAATTCTCTGCGAGCAGAAGATTAGACATATCTATAGACCTCCCTATTTCCACCTGTGTCATGTCATATTTCACCCGATGAATGAGATTAGCTATGATTTTGAAGATTTAAGCGTCTCCGGTCTTATCTTGTGATCTGAGTTGCCTTTGATAGTGCACGGTGCTCCACTCAACATTCAGTGGATGTCAACTGTGGCTGAACCAGAGTGCTCAATTCCGAAATATTTTCCCAGTAGTGCACACGAGTTCACTGTTGTATGGCTGTCGTAATGGCTACATTACAGTATTTTCTGTTGCTAGGATATTGAGTTTTATGGTGCAAAAGTGCGTCAACCCTATGGTGAGCTTGGAGTTTGTACATCTATCAACGACTACGCATACCAAAAAGGGTTAGTAGATTTTATGGCCATCATTTGAAAAAACAAGAGCTTGAAAACTCCTTGACCAGCTATTCATTAAAACAGATTAACTTTTTGTGCTTTTGAAAGCAAAAAGGATGACAGTTCGTAGGTGTTGCAAATGTTTCATATTTTAGAATGTAACTGTACAAAAAAAAAATGAGAGCCAACAATGCGACAGTGTTTGAAACCAGGTGTCTTTATAATTCCAGCTTTCATTAAGGGCTTTTCCGAATTTTTCTGTTTTTCTCCTCTCGAACTCAACAAAACTGGAAGTCGTTTAGAGGAGTCATAGTAGGTTGACATGCGCACAATACAGCAAAGTCTTAGGCAGGTTCATTGACAAGAACGAAAATTACGAAATCTTTAGAGTGTTTGTAATTATGTCCAGCACTGTATAGTCCAGTCATTTCATAAAATCATGTGTGCAGTGGCACACATGACCATATGAAATGACTGGACTGTACTAACGTGATTTGTTTAATTTCACCAAAATGAGTAGAAATGAAATTCTTTGGTATACCATTAATGAAACACAAAAATCATGCAACATTACCTGCCCCCGAGCATCTCGCAGCATTTGCTGCAATGATTCCACAGAGCGATTGGCAACAGAAATCCCGTCAATCTCACGTATTTCGTCACCCACGTGCAAAGTTGCTGGAAATGCCAATCTCAAAATTGTAAATTTGAAGTCTCCAAATAGACCCGTATGCACGTACATCCGCGCTGGGGAGGGGAGGGATTCTGAGAAAGGATGCATCATATCTCGCTACTCTAGGTATCTTTCTTCTTCTTCCTCTGTCTTGCTTATGAGAGTTTTCATACCCTTACACCTGCGTATAGTGGGTGCCAGGTTACTGCCATAAAAGATTGGTTTTTTTTGCCATTTTGTGTGATCCCCTGGGAATCCCACCTCTCAATTTCAGAGTCATTTATCTTCCTGGGAAGCCAATGAGATCGCTGCAAAAATGCACTGAGGATATACGACGGCACTGCTATGAGCATGTTTTCGACAGGAAATGGAATCTGAAGATTGTGAATTTTTCGATAATTCCTAGCTCGCGAGTAATTCGTCAAAGATTTCGATATCTTGAGAATTTCACTTACTTCTACTATAAACATGTTTAGCAGTTGCCTTAGTATATCCCCATCACAACTTTGCAGCATTTTCATTGACGTTTCAGAAAGATGAATGACTTTGGAAAGAAAAGGTGATCCTGGGGATCCCCCGGGGAATCACACAAAATAGTAAAGATCTGATCTTGTATAACAGTACCCTGGCAACAATTATGCGCAGGTATCGGGCTATTATCTGGAGAAGCGAGATATGACGCATCCCCTCTCAAACCCCTCCCATCCCTAGCGAGGATTACGTGAATACGGACCTTAGTCAAAGCTCTGTGATAGATGAGAGTCACTCATACTATATCCTCATTTCGGAAAAATTACGCGTTCCGCATACCAACAACGCACAGACATAGACACAGCGATACAGACTAAACAACGATCACCTTGTCTGTGTATCATTCCACCGTGCATAATACGTGCGACGAAACACCTGCCATCTTCCGTCACCTGAATCAGCAGTCCTCAAACAATAATCTATTCTCAAAGATAGTTGCATCAAGAATGCAAAGATAACTGAGTGGGTGAATAGCACATAAGATAGGAGGCATAATATCCTGCTCTTTTATTCACACATTCGCTCAGAAGGAAACAAGAAAATGTATTGCTGATCTATTTTGCTGATTTTATAATCGGGTTGGCACATTCGAAAAACTTCAAAGTCCTAAACCTAAAGTTACGATTTTGTTCTCGGAAGTGATGCAAGATTCGCGCTCAACGATGTCACCGCGACTTTCTCTGAATAAAGTTGTTAAACAAACTTCCAAGAACGGCACCTCAATTTTTGTGATTTTCAGTTTGAGCTAGCAATACTAGTGCCGCTTAGTCTCGAAACTCTGCAAACTTTTCTCGAATAGCGGTAGTCCAAACAGAAAATAAAAAAAAAGCTAGTACTGGCATTTACAGTCACAATAAAAAATTCCGAAAATTGTCACTGTGCTTTTGCTAAAGATCAAGTCAAATGTGTGGTCTCAGATATGTTTCTGCAAAGAAAATGCATTCATACATAATCTGATTGAGGAGATTTCGCTGCAAAGTGAAGTTTTCCACACATTTGTTTTCACATTTTCATGTGAGACTGAAGCCTGCTACCGCAATATAGGTACAACTGCTATGTAAGAAATATAAACGTTGTTTTGGGACTGACTAGCTGAAGCTCACGAAATGAGTCAACGCTTCAAAAGCCTTTTCTCCAAGGCTTACTGACAAAAACCTGCGCAGAAAAACCTCAAAGGCAGCGTACACCCAAGATTTGGCCTCTTATAATTTTGTCATCCTGGGGCTTTTCCGTGCCCCTGATCACATTTATGAAATTCAACTTCTCCTAAACCCCCAGAGAACCCCGATTTCCGAGGACCTTCTCTTCAGAGGGCGGACGAGTCAAAAATTGCTCAACCTGTCAGCATGCCAGCGAGGAGCAGACTGCAACTGCATGACAGCCTAGTTGCAACTGCAACTCGTACACTTACAGCTTACGCGTCGTGGATTCGTTCGAAGGAGGAGGACCGCAAAAAAGGGGCGGAGCGCAAAAAAAATCAGGCGCGTTTCCTCCCCTTAGAAGCAATATTGGGAGACCGGACCAACCAGTTGGTCTTCTTCTGGGCCCTACATATACACCGTATAGAGAACTGGATAGCATAGACTCTCGGCGTACGCTGCCTTCAAAGGCTTTGTATTAGCAAGAACTTTCGTGCCAACCTAAGATCCTTAACACGTATCGGACCGGTGCTGCACTTAGTGCAGCAGGCTACTTTGAAGGATCTTTGTAACGATTACAGAAGGTTTTAATTTAATCCAAGGTTATTAAATCAAAGGCCTAAGCTCCTTCTTTATATATGACTCTGTAGAGCTGTGCCGTCGATATTTGTTTAGGAGATATGAGGACGAATCGAACAACAGTTGCAACAAAGTGCGGCAACGCGAACGACGCGTGCGACGTCGCAACTTTTCTTTGCTTCTATTTCAAAGAGAAAAACCGTAGTTTCAATACTGATGTGTACCGTGCACAACACAGATACTTTTGAATACAATTAGAAGCTGAGTTCTTGTTTCTATCTTTCAAGAAAGCACAGAAGTCCTTCTCAAGCGACAAAATTCAAACACTTCGAGCTCATTTAGAACGTTGGGTATGCAGCTTATCTGACATGCTGATTATGGATGTAGCCCACAATCTACAAAATAACCCTCTTGTTGGTTAACGGCTGGAAGTATCTTTTCCGCCGCGCGCGATTTCGGGCTCCGAAACGTGTTAATCAATAAGTGTTAAGGGCAGCGTCCGGGCAAATTTCGAATGGAATTTTTTTTCGTTTAGGGCTTATTCCTCCTGCTGATCCTGAAAATGCAGCTTGGAAGGCACGAAAACGCCGAAAACGGGCTTTTCCAGAAGCCTTTGATTTGAATTTTGTCGCCTGCCGCCAAGGTTAACGCAGTCTTTGTGGGATCCTACGTCTTGACTGTGTGCGGTATGCGCACTCTGGCCTATCGAACTAACTCGTCCCGGTCACCGGGGCGTTCCGGTCGCAACTTCTAAAGCGGATTTCTCGCTTCAGAAGCTAATTGGTGCATTGCCAATTAAGCAAGAGCCTTACCAGGGCGGGCTGCCAATTGAGCAAGAGCCTTACCAGGGCGGTCGCCCCTGTACTTTACATTTTCTATCTGCCCGGACGCTGCCTTTGAGTGTAGGTTCCCTTCAAGCAAAGTCTTCTTGCTCCTTAGTGATTATAACAAGCGGAGGACTCCCAAAGAACAATGAGATGAACAAAATAACAACATACATAACACGACAAGTGGAAAAATCAAGCGATGACGTAAGTCTCCCACAATTTGGCCAACACTGAGTTTCCGTTAGGATCAAGGTTGTCTACAGTAGGTGTAAAAGGTACGTTCACTCAATTTAGATTACGAAGGAAAAGCAGAAGTAAAGATAGAAGGAAATTCACAGCTGTAAAACAGCTGAAATTAATGCCAAAAAGTAATTCGAACCTTAAGCGTAATGCCCATGGGCTCTTCGGTATCCTTCTGGAAATGCACTAGTCGAATCCTTGATATGGTGTCCATGACAAAATCAGCATCGTCGTCACCTGAACAATCTTATTTCATTGAAAGATCAATGGGGTGTAGTAAGGATATAATATGAGGTATTAACAAATTAAAAGGTTACGATAACATGCCTGTGAATGAGGGAGGCAGGCCCTCGTCCGAGCAGGTACTGGCTCCTCTATGACTATGTGAAAGTACTCCTCCATTCGAACAAGTGGGATTGGAGAAGTTCTTAAAGCATCTATTATTGCTTTTCAATGGAACTCGAGCAAATCGATGCAGCAGAAATGTAAGTGCAAAACTCGATCATGTGCTCTCAGTTGTGTCTGATGGTAGCACATGAAACAGCGAACGAGTGCTCATCTGTCTAACACGTCCGCTAAAACTAGAAAGGAAGAAAGCGCAACAAAAATGGAGAAAAGCTATCGCACCATTTCTGGTGTAAAAGCTCTCACTGAGCTAAAATGCTACGAAAAAACGCAAACTACTACTACATTATTAGTTTGTATCAGTGACGTTTATTTTGACCATTCGTTCTTTCAGCCAGCTTTTAACGATATAACTTTCTAGCTACTTCAAATCCCACATCTATTAGGAGCCTTTTCTTTGCAGCTTTTTTGGTGAATTCCAAAGAAAAGGTAGCTATATGAAAAAATCAGAAAGATAGCGAAGGTCAACACGCGCAGTCCAAACTTCGATCCTTCCAAGAGTTTTTCCTCTAAGAAGCGGTCGCCAAGACGAAGACACAGTGCGATTCGCCCGCCCGCATTAGGCTTGAGATATACCTGACGATCGAGGTATAGCGGGTGTTGGCGAATCGCTGATGTCTGCGCTGCCTTTAGCTGCTCGTGGCGCTGCTGCGCTGGGTACGTTTTGGGTGCAAGAACGAAGTAGTTTTACCCATTCTACGCTTAGCTTAGGCCTTTAGGAAAGTAAGTCTCGAGGAACTACCAAAATTGAGAAATATGATTACATGAGACCCAAAAAAGCCATCCGGTTCTCACCAACAATTTTTTTATGAAGCATAAAATGGCAAACCAAATGTACCATATACTGAAAAAATACTAAAAAAAATAATCATTTGACAGATATCCAAGCGAGTGTGCTAGAATCTTGATGTGCGCTTGAGGCAAAAACCGAACAATCTAGGTCATAGCTGCCTTTAATGTATTGAGGTGTACTGGTGATATCCCACCAAATCGTTAAATTCCTCTAGTTCATCGTTACTCCAGTTTGATTTTATTTTTGCTTCGCAAAAGTTCTGGGCAGTTGTTCAGATCCACTCTTTGTCGACTTTGTCAACTCCTTAATGATTTTTTTATCGACGCATTGCGTTTTGGTCTTGCAAGTTCGTCATAGTTCAGTATCGCAACAAGTGCTTTACAAATCCTCTAGAAGTCCAAAAATATGTCAAAAAGGGACAAATCCGAGAAAAATCAGCGTTAGCAACGTGAAGCAGCTGAGAGAAGCTCGCCAAAAGTGAGCTTCATATCGCATAGCAGCAGGGAGCAGCTACGAGCAGCAAGCAGCAGCGAAGAGCAGCGCAGTATCGCCAGCTATAACGGGTCTGTTTGGGTTCCTTCATACTACGCCGCGCGCGCAGCGTAGTATGAAGGAACCCTTTCGCGTTGGCTGCAGCAGCTAGAGGCAGCAGCGTCGCCTGGCGTCAATCGATACGCACAAAAGGTGTTGCTGTGCTAGCACGACACATCGTCAGCTATAGCCACCCATCGTCAGGTATATCTCAAGCCTTAAACACAAAATAATGGTCAGGTGTACAAATATAGCAAAGATAAGGATTAGGAAATTGTAACGAAAAGAGGTTTCAAGAAGCTTAGTATATATACCGGTTTTTGCCACTGCAAAATATTAACAAAATCAATGCTCCCAAAACCCCAAGTAAGCCTTCATGTTTGAAAATCATGACGTCGAGCAATTTGAGCGACAATGCGATACAACTCCTCAAAAACTGCTGATCATTTTAGAAATCAACGGACCCTGAATACATATATCTACATATATAGGGTTCTGCGTGATAGGTAGATAGAGGACTATATGTCGCCGAAGTGTGGCCCCCCGCGGTCATCAGCAACAGATACGCACCCTTTCACATGCATGGAGGTGCATTTTTACAAGAAGTCCGTGCGACCCCTACATTCGGCGACATATAGTCCTCCACCTCTGCGTGATCGCGAGAGTCTGTGAGTTAGCGGCCATCGCACACGCAAGATGCCACAAGCCTGAAACCAGTTAAAGGCAGCGTCCAGGCAGATCCGAGCTCGACGACCACACCCAGTTCCTCTCGGACGGCCAACCCCTTATGAACGAAATCTCCTCAGCCTTGACGTGTTTTCACATGACCAACACAGTCGAACTTACAGCGTTTACCTGTTAATACTTGCTTTCGACAAGGATAACATCAGAAGCACTCGTCCGGGTTTTCCCAAAATAGCCCCAAAAGGTGGTTTTCTGAGAAATTCACGCTTTTTCAGTTCCATATTCGGAATTAGCACCATGGAAAGGCCTGGATAACATAAAAATATAGAAGTCGAAAATCTGCCTGGACGATATAAAGCGACATATAGGGCTTATCAAACGCAGTGTCGCTTGCATCAGCATCTTTACTCCCGCGCTGGACTCTGCATTTCTTCCGCGAACATGCTCTGTGGTCATTTTCCCAATGCGAGCGTGGGAAAGACGGAGCGTCAATCGATTAAAAGTGTGATTAGAGAGCATGTTCGCGGAAGAGACGCAAAGTCCAGCGCGGGAGTGGAGATGCTGATGCAAGTGACACTGCGTTTGATAAGCCCTATATATGTCGCCGAATGTAGGAGGGCCCCGCCCGGACTTCTTGCAGACGTGAAAGGCCCCCCACTTCGCGACATATAGCTTTCTACCCTGCAGAACCCTTTGGATATGCAACAATGAATGTCAGCTCGCAAGATTCTAGTCAAGAGCCCCTCTATTTGACGTACTGGGACTTGAAGTGAGAGCATTGTCAAAAATTATATGCTGTGGCTTTCTATGTATTATGACATGGAAAAATCAGAAGAAGATACTCACTTAGCTTTGAGACAATGGAAGCTTTCTTAGTCGAACTGGCCTTCCCAAATGAGTCCTATATTACTTTGAACAATGAACGCTAACCCTAAATCTGTTTTTATTATTTGCGAAGCGCCTCTGGCTTCCGAGTAAAGACTGTTTTTTAGCGAAAAATGAACTCCTGATCTAGGTAGAAACAATGGCTACGATCTTTTCTGCGCTCAAATAGAGCAGGGTTGAGTTTGCGGGCATTAGACAGAAGTATCCATTGAATGAAGTGCTCTGATAATCAAAACTTGACCATTTAAGCAATTCTAGACGATTTTGTTTCAGTTTCGTATACAACCTTTCAACCTAAAAAACGCTCATAACTCAATCTCCAGAGCTTGGCAAATGAGGAAGACAGATTTGGAACTGACCAATGTTCTACAAAGTGATACAGGCGTCATGTGGAATTGCAGCTTCGACTAGAAGGCTTCCTTTAGTAAGTCTACTAGAAGCATGACAGGTGCGTGCTCAGCTGGAAGTATTATTGACCAAGACATTGTCTAGTTTGTCCAAATTCATTCATACAGGATTACATCGCTTCGGATAGGAAGTATGCGACAACGATTTAGCTGACCTAAACAGGATCTTCTAGTGGCTATAAGGCAGATGCTAACTGTGCATTTATCTAAAGATGCTCTTCAATGATCAGTGCAAATGAAGCTACCCGTAAGCTTCCGAACACAGCGCAGATTGTCAACAAAATCGTTGTATGACTAGTATTTCTTGCGCTTATCACCACACCTCTTCTCCACTGCAAAACGGTTAAAAAAGTGATGACTGAGATAGTAACGAAATAAAGACTGCAACAAGATCGATGCTCAGTGCTTTAGCCTCATGTAAAAAAATGGTGCATTAATTTGACCCACTTCCAAACTACTTCGAGTTCTTAGAGTATACAACGATATTCAAACGCAAACTCAATAAATCAGCACATAGTTCGCACTTTCGCCTTGAAAGCCAATTACTTCGACATCCTCGCGTCCCGCGCAATTGTATGCAAATTGCAAATAGCAAAAACATTTTGAAAGTGTATATCAAAAGTACGCCAGCAGATGAAGCAGAAGGTCAACAAAAGCACCTGTACGACGCCTGATGCAGTCTGCGCACTCTCTTCCCCATCTTCCGATTCGTATACCTCGGATGCAACAATGTCGTGAGCTTGTAAACATGCCTGAAGAAACCGTCATATGAAAATCATCAAGAAATTTTCAGCTTTTGTGAATTTGCCAAAATCACCTCAACATCATTCAAATGCATAAGCTGTTGGAGTTCTGTTGCCTCCGCTGTAAGGTTGGGTAGGGAATCAAGTTCCACGAGGATCTAGAAGAATGTCTACTTGTAAGCGCCAAGATCTGTGTGTCTCAATTTCATCTGATTGTGAGATAAAATGATCAGCAATTGCACAATTGCAGAAATACAATTGACACTGGTAAGAGATTCTACAGTGACATTTAGTAAACTTAACAAAAATTTGGATGCAGATAACAAATGGGAACATTTGGTGTAAAACTGGACCTATAGCAGAGTTTCGTAACCCGAGAATATAGCAGGAGACAATTACTGTTATACTAAGTTGTGTTTCAAAGAAACAAGGCAGACGCCATGTCTATTAGATAAGTTGGTGATAAGCGTGTTAAAGAGAAATAATAAACTAACAGCATTCTCGGTGGTCAAATAAAAAAAACAAGAAAAGCAAAGATCAGCAATGCTAGAAATAAAAAAATTGCAATGAAGAACTTACTTCACGATATAATGCACAGGCATCTCGTTCTGAGACGACAGGATGGCAACGTAATTGGGAAATTCGATCATACAGCTGAAAAGAAAACATCCTTGGATCCCTATCACACCTTGACGACCTCTAAACACTAATTCCTTTCCATTTGCCTCCCCCCTCCTGACCTAAGCCTTATTATGATCGTGTTTCAAATCACTGACACTATACAGCTAATTGAATGAGATTTCGTCGCATCTCACTTGGCTGTAACAAATAACAACTGACGGTTCAGCCCGCCACCTGAGTCGAGTCGATGAGACAAGCTACAAGCATGAAGGAAGTTTATCAAAGAGACTTTGTTCTACTACTCCGACCTCGAAGAAATGATTAATAACGGTGGACGAAGGAATTGCAATCACTGTGCGAAAGATAGGTATTTTCGGTAAAATACAAAAATGTTTCAAGGATTGAGGGCTCACTTTCTACTGCACTAAATCTGGATCCCTTCCAGAAACACAATGTTTCAGTACTTTTTCGAAATTTAGAAGAACTTCAGGAGATATTAGTCTCAGCTCTTTTCAAGAAGTTTTGCTGACAGTGGAAACTAGGAAGGTAAGCAGGGAAGGTATGATATACTGATAATCTTAGGCCTCACAGATGGCTGATTCACCAGAAAATAGTGACACTCACAAATATAAAACGGATATCAGAATGAACAATGCAGCAATACAAACGATTCTGATAACGATTCTGACTGTACCGCTGTCCAAGTGTTCGTATGGTGGAGGTTCTTCGGCTTGCTGAGCACTCGCTCGTACATCGGCAGAGCTTTCGAGCTTCTCATCTCTGTCGCGACATTCACAAGCATGCTGCGCAGCGGCGGTGAAATGCTGAGCAGAATCGCTGCAGCACAGACCGCGATCGCTGGCAGCACCGATACACAGCACACAGATGATGAATATGAGGAAGGAGCCGATCAGAAGCGCGAGCAAGCTGTGGTGGAACAGCGTCGAGTCCATGAGAAGCGCCCACCTGGCTTACCTAGGGGCGGGCCGCAATCAGGACCGGCCAGAGTAAAGTAGGCACGCCCTACGGCCCGCAGTTCCACAGAAGCAGTGGGCCAAGTTTGGCGCTGAGCAGGAGCCGAAACTACTCACCTGATGAGGAACGGTGACTTTGGCGACCTGCGAGTTGTGCGCCATGCTGCGCGCTCACTGCTACCATCGATTCGGGCGCCGACCCAACGCCGCCCACTTCATCCGGTCAATCGATATCCATCATAATCATAACTGTTGGCTGCCGAACACGACTGCTCTTGGCGACTTCTGCGCTGAATCTCAACCGAATAATGCAACCTATTCGATTATGGGGCCACAGAGCGGCACAATCACTCGTCCGTGTCGCACGTTCCCACCCGCGTGCAATGGCGCCGTATTTCGTTTATTTTCTGTTACTCATCAAAAATGGGCTCGTTGGTCGTCATTTGCTTCTACTCCTCAGTCCTGCAGTAGCAGCTCGTGCTGCGCACGCGAGATGCTGGCTGCATAAATTTTCGGACTTAGTCACGGTTGAGAGTGGCGAGCAAAACCTAGTTACGCGATAGGGAAGCGGACTCAATTCAAGGAGTGAAATTCAATAGATGGACTGCTTAGTGCGGGCTCGCCGGCCAAATGAAGATAAAGTGTACGCAATCTCAATGAATCTGCACAAAACCTGCAAAAACTACCTACTCAGCTTTTTGATTTTATCCGTTTGATCATGTTTCAGTCTTCTACTGTCCATCTACTAGTAAACTGTGTTGATGAATAGCAGCTTCATGGACATTCTAGCATAGAAGCTACTAAACTTTTGAAAATAAAGTGAAATGGCTATACGCTTGCGAGAGTAATCGCTTCTTTGTTGCCAAAGGAACGAGCAATCCAACAAATTTAGGGAAGGACTTCATAGGCTAATGAGTCTCGATGTACTAGTTCTATAATCCCGTAATCGAAGGTTTGTTTTCCATTCTTTTTTTTGGAACTGTATAGGAAGTAAATTGCTCAAAAAAAAAACAAGAAAGGTAAAGTGCATTCTAAAACAATTGCAAAAAAGTGCTTTGTGACGCGGCAAAGGAGGAGATTGCTTTAGCTGAGCCAACGTGAGCCTAGGTTCTCATTTTCGTCTTTTTTGACAGTTTTTTCCGCGTTCAAAGTATATAGGAGGCGTAGCTGCTCACAATGCTGCCAGGCTTTTGCCAGAATCGCGTCATGCAAATGCCTGCACGTTGTTTTCTCAGATTTGGGCATGGCATGCAGACTCACGATTCGCTAAGGGCAACATATTAAGTGTACGTATGTATTCCCATTTCCTGTTTTCATTCGTTAAGCATTATCTGCCATCTAAAGTCTAATGCCTGCGGAAAAAGGCGATTGGAAATTTACCATCTATTCTATGATTCTATGACTGGAGGCTCAAGACCGCTCTGCGCACATTGCTCAAACAAGCTTGAACTTTGTTGTTTCTGATTCCAATTCGCAACCGATAATAAATGAGATAGATTTCTACAAACTTGTTAACTACACGATCAGCCTTGTTCAAACAGTGCCTGCAAAGCGAGATGAGGAAGTAGTGCACGCGGAAACAAAAATGTAAGGTGAAAAAAATACATTTTCATGAAGCACGAACTTGGAATATTGTAAATATGATTTCGACTGACTTTCGACTGACTTATACGCGGGTATACACTCCACATCAGACACTCATATGTGCTGTTGCTGTCTTTTTTATTAGCTAGACATCAAGAAACCGAAAATTTCCATGTTCTTACCAAAGTGCTGCTGTGCTGTTCTTATACTATCAGATGTATACTACGAGCCCTTAGAAGTACAACCGTAAATTTTCAGTTCTCTATAAGCTCTGGTTTCCGAGAAATGTTAAGTTAAGCGTGAAAAACCTAAGTGAATGCAAAATTCGATATTTCTCAGGGAACATACAACTGTTAGTATAAGAAGAGCACAGCACCACTTTGGTAAAAACAAGGAAGTTCCCAGTTTCTCTTCTAGTTAATAAAAAAAAGACAGCAACAGCACGTACTAGCGTATGTGGAATGTATATGCTTGAGCGAGTTAGAGATCTGTAGGACTTTTCTGAATGAAGCTGTAAAAATTTTTCAGTTTTCTGGGCATCCCAAACTTTCTAGGTTTTGGTTTCAAACTCGAGGTGGATCGAAGCTGGTGCAAAACCATAAACGCCATCTTATAAAGCTTGCTTTGCTCTATCGAATGGAGCCTGATGTCTATTTAGGATAAGATACGACTTATCATAGCGAAAACTCGAAAATGAAAAGACTTATGAGACAACTAATATAATGAAGTGTGACCTATTGCAAATTACTAAGTTATATCAACTGAAAAACTGACCTCAAATATCGTCAACGTCGTAAATCTAATTTTACTGCCCTAGGAATTCCTATCGTTTATATTATATATTCTTATCACTGTGCTACCCACATATGTAAGTTTCATGTAAAACTTCTTTCAGCACCTTCCAAGCCTCTGAGCATCTGCGTTGTTTATTGCCCATGTAATTTTGGTTTCAAATCATATTTACAATATTACACGTTCGACCCATCTAAACATGTATTTTTCCACCGAAAAATCACTACGTAGTATATTCTGGATTCGTTGTTTACCATTTGGCCACCCCTGATCCGTGGAACACGGCAAACGAAGAGAGAGCAGACGGAGAAATTATGATGAAATATACTGATCTTTGACTTTGGATTGCTGCCAAGTGGCATGCGTTTTGGAACGCTGCCAAATTTCATAACGAGTGACCAAGCATATTTTCGTAAAAGGGTCAAGCGTATTTCGAAAGGCAATCATGAGTGTCGATGATTTTTGTTCTGGCCACGCCAGAACCCCTGCCGATGGCGGCCCCCTTTCTTGCATCAGGGGCGGGGCGCGTAGCCCCGCACTCTTCGTTTTGCGCTCTCCCGAGCACCTTGTCAATATCCTGATAAACATAACCACTGAACCACTTTCTTATTGTACTAAAAAGGGCCTGCCATACGCCTTGTTCACATTAGGCTATACCATAAGCCTCAAGTCGCCACATTTATGGTGCATCGGCCAAATACGTAAGACCGGTCAGTGCTTCGCCTCAGCGATTGCACAAAGGTTAGCTATTCTAACCTTGGGACCTAGCGCCCAAAAGACGCTGCTTCACACCCAGCGACAGCCATTCTCACCGCATAGGTGAAAATTCCTAATCTTCGCTCAAAAAGTAGCGAAACGGCTCAAAAGCAGCCACACTTTTTCTATAATTGCAATTTCTTACATCAAAAATGTCTCTAAAATCGTTCAAGGAGGCAATTGTATTTCACTCAAAAAACTTGCAGATCTACTCAAAAAGTTTGAGTCTTTCAAAGATGTCAAATTTAGTTTGCAGCACACTAAAGAGCTGCAAAAGAAATGTTTTGAAAATTTAGATAATTTTCTTTCTTGCCTACCACAAGTTAAGGCGAGGTCGACAATTTTGCAGTCAATGGTCGACGAAATTGAAGAATTTTATCTCAAACAGTCTAAAAGCGAGCAAAAAGCAATCATACTCCAGCTAGAAGAGCTCGAAAAGGAGGTTGACTTTTATCAGTTGCTTTCTGATGCTGATGTTTTTGCCTGTATTGTAGAACATCAGATTCTGTATGCAGAAACATACAGAGGCAATTTTGCTGTAAGTCAAGTAGTCAAAAGACAGCAATCCAGCTTACTTCGCCATTTTATACTTGACGCGGAACGAGAGTTCGACAGTGTAGCAGTGATGAGCGAAACTCCTGCGACCATAGAAGAAGGCAACGAAAATGAGAAGCGTGAACACTATTCTGAAGACTGTGGAGTTGTGGCTTGCGGAGGTGCCATGGATGGCAAAACATCAGCAATTCGCGATGAACATGATAGCCTGACGTCACCGCCTATGCCCGATGCGAGTCAATCCAAGGAGAACGATCTCAAGAGAAGGTACAAGAATGCAAAGCGACAACTCAAGAACAGTATGACGAAGAACCAATTTTATATTCCTAAATCCATATTTTCGTCTCCTAATGCGGATTCGCTCCGTTGTAATGATATACATTATTCTACCTTTTCACCATCTACTTATTCGCCACCTCATGTCAGCTGTCACGACCACATTCGCCACAATTCCACCCCCATCCATCTGACTCCTCGAGGACGTCCACTACGGTATCCTGATAAGTACTGGATATACATTTGCTTACGTTAATTGTGTATGTTTATGCGCTGCTCATTCGCTGTTTCTCATTTACTTTCCCCGCTGGCCGGAGTGTGCCGACTTGTCGGCACCTTCCTTACAACCATATCATTACTCCTGCTAAGCACCGTAAAGGTCATGCCATAAGCATGACCTGCTGTGAAATGAGTGTATTAGTGCCCAGAAGTTTGTGATACTACTTTACCACGTCTTCAATCCTCAGCATTCTACCACTGCACGAATGGGTGTACGTCGACTGTTCAATAAAGCTCTAATAGCTTACGTGTTCTAATAACACACCAGGAGCCACCATACTCCACTACAGGCGCCACCCATCCGCCTAAGGCTACAATAAAGCCTACAGCCTCTGGCCACGCCAGAACCCCTGCCGATGGCGGCCCCCTTTCTTGCATCAGGGGCGGGGCGCGTAGCCCCGCACTCTTCGTTTTGCGCTCTCCCGAGTACCTTGTCAATATCCTGATAAACATAACCACTGAACCACTTTCTTATTATACTAAAAAGGACCTGCCATACGCCCTGTACACATTAGGCTATACCATAAGCCTCAAGTCGCCACAATTTTGAGAATGGGTCGCCAGTGTCCGGGTGTGTTATTGTACCTGCTTTTTTTTCGAGCTTGTTATCCCAGAATGTGTCTTTCGAATACTTGTACTCCTATTAACTGCTTTTGAAATGACACCAAATTGCGTAATAGCGTGACTTGAGCTAAACTCACCCATGTTCGCAACTCGTGGTAAAAATGCTCTAACAAGGAAAGCAAGGTTGGTCGAAGTGGCCTTTTGAAATGAGATGTATACTGCCTTGTAGAGCTTGGAACGCTGATTCCAAATATACCTTTGCTATCTGCTGGGGGCTTCTGGGCAACGAGTTATGAGGGTTTTTGTGAGTAAAAATCTAAATGCAAGAGTAGGCTAAAATCAGTCGTCACATTTTTATAGGGCTAAATTGGTAGTCGGGTCACTCGGTGAAACAAATATTCTTAATTCAAACAAACCATCTCGCTGCTGCCTCATTTGAACATTGGGGAAAGGTTACGATTGATTTTACCCTATTTTTGCATTCAGATTTTTACTCATAAAAACCTTCATAACTCGTCGTCTAGAAGCCCGCAGCAGATAACAAAGGTAGATTTGGAATCAGCGTTCCAAGCTCTACAATGCAGTGTACACTTCACTTCAAAAGGCCACTTCGACCAACCTTCCTTCCCTTGTAAGAACAGTCACTTTAGGATTATCTTCTTTCGCGTGTAGACAAGAGAGTGTGTGAACTTGGTCTCGCTGGTACTTTT